GTAAATAATGATAACTCCTCATCCCAGAAATTCAGACAGAAGGCGATCAGGTGATAATAACAACAAAGATGAGGACAATAGTCCGCATGTAAATAGTGTAAATAATGATAACTCCTCATCCCAGAAATTCAGACAGAAGGCGATCAGGTGATAATAACAACAAAGAAGAGGACAATAGTCCGAATGTAAATAGTGTAAATAATGATAACTACTCATCCCAGAAATTCAGACAGAAGGCGATCAGGTGATAATAACAACAAAGATGAGGACAATAGTCCGAATGTAAATAGTGTAAATAATGATAACTCCTCATCCCAGAAATTCAGACAGAAGGCGATCAGGTGATAATAACAACAAAGAAGAGGACAATAGTCCGAATGTAAATAGTGTAAATAATGATAACTCCTCATCCCAGAAATTCAGACAGAAGGCGATCAGGTGATAATAACAACAAAGATGAGGATAATAGTCCGAATGTAAATAGTGTAAATAATGATAACTCCTCATCCCAGAAATTCAGACAGAAGGCGATCAGGTGATAATAACAACAAAGATGAGGACAATAGTCCGAATGTAAATAGTGTAAATAATGATAACTCCTCATCCCAGAAATTCAGACAGAAGGCGATCAGGTGATAATAACAACAAAGAAGAGGACAATAGTCCGAATGTAAATAGTGTAAATAATGATAACTCCTCATCCCAGAAATTCAGACAGAAGGCGATCAGGTGATAATAACAACAAAAAGATGAGGATAATAGTCCGAATGTAAATAGTGTAAATAATGATAACTCCTCATCCCAGAAATTCAGACAGAAGGCGATCAGGTGATAATAACAACAAAGATGAGGACAATACTCCGAATGTAAATAGTGTAAATAATGATAACTCCTCATCCCAGAAATTCAGACAGAAGGCGATCAGGTGATAATAACAACAAAGATGAGGACAATAGTCTGAATGTAAATAGTGTAAATAATGATAACTCCTCATCCCAGAAATTCAGACAGAAGGCGATCAGGTGATAATAACAACAAAGATGAGGACAATAGTCCGAATGTAAATAGTGTAAATAATGATAACTCCTCATCCCAGAAATTCAGACAGAAGGCGATCAGGTGATAATAACAACAAAGAAGAGGACAATAGTCCGAATGTAAATAGTGTAAATAATGATAACTCCTCATCCCAGAAATTCAGACAGAAGGCGATCAGGTGATAATAACAACAAAGAAGAGGACAATAGTCCGAATGTAAATAGTGTAAATAATGATAACTCCTCATCCCAGAAATTCAGACAGAAGGCGATCAGGTGATAATAACAACAAAGATGAGTACAATAGTCCGAATGTAAATAGTGTAAATAATGATAACTCCTCATCCCAGAAATTCAGACAGAGAAGAAAGTCTCATCTAGAAAAAAAGAGAAAAGAAGATACGATAATAAGAAAAGTGAGGTAGAAGATATAAAAAAAAAAGAAATTTTTAGATGAAAGCAACGATAAAGCGCGGGAAATGATATCAGAATTAAAATAAAGCTAAATAAAACCAAAAAAAAAAAGGAAATGTGTTTTATGAGGTGGAAAAGGAAAACAAAAGAACGGAAACGGAAAATTGAATTTTTTTATTATTATTATTACGTTACCAAATTTATGCGAATGCGATAAAACTGATTCCAACTCCAAGAAACTCGGCTGATTAAATTTGAAAAGTCAGCCAATTTTACTCCAGTTAAAGCGGAGAGATATGATATGTTTTCAATTATTAAGAAATGTTTGCACAACGAAAATACAACTAACGAGACATGACAGGAAATACAGACATCGACAAAAATCTAAACTCAGAGATGTTAATGTAATTCCATTAATCTATCATGAATTTTACTTCGGAATATGGCTGAACACCCAGAAGACATTATACAATCACCTAATTATGGGTAAGTGACTTTGTAGAGGAACGATAGAATCTAAAAATTAATATATATATATATATATATATATATATATATATATATATATATTGGTGTGTGTGTATATTTCGTCATAAAATCTTGATAAAAACAACTTAAAGGAATTGACTAATGTAAACAGAACAAGCGAAATCATATGACAAAGATATAAAGGCGACATACTGGCAAACACACATTCGCTTAAGGGTCAACAGGCTGTAAGAGACAGTAAATAAAGAAGGAAAAACTGAGATTAAGGGTAAGTAAGTCGACTTTAAGATGCTTATCTATTTATCTATCTATTAGGTTGGTGCAAAAATAATGACGTAAGAATGTCGTCTTTGACGTAAAAAATACGTCAAAAAACGATATTATTACGTCATTATTTTGCACCATCCTAATATCTATCTATCTATCTATAGATATATATATATATATATATATATTGTAGAGTAGTTTTCACAGTGGAGGCTTGTATTTCGCTAAGTCGGTCCTAAAAGGTCCGACGTACAAAACGTTAGGAACTTGCCATAAGAGTTAACGACGCAGCAATCTAGGTTGTGATGGTTGATACTTCAATGTCCGACATCGACTGACTCGCACAACACCACTGAGCCCAACTGGCGACCGCTACAACTACTACTACTACTACTACTACTACGACGACGACGGCGACGACTTATTATTATGTGTGGGAGAGTCGATTAATGATAGAATAGGTACGTTCAGGTATGACCAAGGGTACCGCTCAGAATTCCTTGTCGCCAATGTGTTGTAGAGCAGTTTTCACCAGTGGGGGCTTGTATTTCGCTAAGTCGGTCCTAAAAGGGTCCGACGTACAAAACGTTAGGAACATGAAATAAGAGTTAATGACGCAGCAATCTAGTTGTGATGGTTGATACTTCAATGTCCGACATCGACTGACTCGCTCAACACAACTGAACTCAACTAGCGACTGCTACTACTACTTATTATCTGTGGGAGTGTCTATTACAATAGAATAGGTATTATGGCATGCCAATATATGGAAACAAATATATGGATATAGATCCGACAGTATGAAGAAAAATATACGGGAAAACAAACAAAAATCCTAAACTGCAATTATGCTGTTTTAATGTTAATATAATGTCAACGTCGGACGTTTTGGTCTAATACACCATCTTCAGGACATATTCATAAAACATAATTAACATTAGACTATATATGAGAAAATCGTTCACTCGAGCTTATCTAGTATTTTGAAATCATCTTCGAATACGTTTTCGCAACATCGCCCACGTGACGACGATGTGATCATATTAAAACGGAACGCTGATCTTACAAAAAAAAAATTCAGTTATCTGTTTGGATCAGTCTTCCTCTTGTGTGCATCGTCTTTTTCATGTTGTCTTGAAGATGGTCTATTAGACCGAAACGTCCGACGTTCACATTATATTAACGTTAAAACAGCATAATTGCATATTAGTATTTTTGTTTGCTTTCCTGTATATTTTCTTCATATATATATATATATATATATATATATATATATATATATATATATATATATATATATATGTTAGCAGCATGGCCTGGCGTTGCCCGGCCTTGATTTAAAAATCGTACGATTCATACAGAATTCGCTATCACTTGACTTGATCACACTGCGAATTTTTTCTATGCTCTATACTAAACATTAAATCTGTTACGAAAAAAGAATTAAGGAAAATGAACACAAAACGATCAGCTTTAAAAAAGGACTCGTAACTTGAAAAACTGAATGAAAAATGAATGTTAATAACAAATACTTTTTCACACCCAAACGACTTCTGCGGAATCAGAATCAATGTTGAGTTTAAGCAAGCGAATGAGCCAATTGGAGTAAAGTGCCATGCAGATTTAAATTTTTCCCACTTGTGACGAATGCAGTTAACATTCGTGTCAGTTAGCTGTTGGCTCTCACGCTGGCCAATAGAATCCTCCTGCCTATTTGTGGCAGCCAGCTATAGGCTCTCACTCTAGCCAGTAGAAAATGGCCGCAATCTACATAAACACTTCCGTAGTAGCATGAAAAATCGATTATTTCCACTGTCGATGGGAGTTGGGAAATGCAATGTCGGTGTTGGCCTTCCCACTAACTTGGAGCATGTGCATGTAAATTTTTGTGCAAATCCGTCGAAAATTGCGGCCGTGGATTCGTTACACACAAAATTTCTTCACGACAAAGATGCAAATTCGGTTCGATGGATATAGTGGCGAGAACCAAAATGGTTATGAACCATTTTTTTTTTTCTCTCTCTCCTCTCTCTCTCTCTATATATATATATATATATATATATATATATAATAACTGGCCACTCGTATTCTTGGATACACGTCTACAAGGTCGGCTAGGCAGTCCCTAATTCAGGCACGCTAGGCACATTTGTATTTGTTAAACAATCACAGACATATATATATATATATATATATATATATATATATATATATATATATATATATATATATATATATACACATACACATACATATATATATGTATATAAATGGCATGTGTATACATATATAACTATTTTTACATAGGAAAATTAAAAGGCACGATGTTGGTGATAATAATTGTTTGTCTCATGTATGTATATATATATATATATATATATATATATATATATATATATATATATATATATATATATATAAGGTGCAGTTCCCTGTACTCTACCCTGATATTCTTTTGAGTATACATTCAGCTTTCATGAATAGATATTGAAAAGCCAACCTGAATTGTATTGAACTGGGGGTGTGTGAGAGGGAGAAAGTGAGAGAGAGTAAATCAGTTATTTTTTGTGTTTTTGGGTGAGTTCCTCTGTGTTTGTGTGTGTGTATGTGTGTGTGTTTGTGTGTGTGTGTGTGTGTGTGTGTGTGTGTGTGTGTGTGTGTGTGTGTGTGTGCATTCTATTCCTGTCACAGCATCATATTAAATAAACACTTGAAGTTGTTTCCAAAGACCTTGCGTGTGTCTCTATTGGATGAATCTGTCCAAGGCAAGTCAACCGACTTACGTATATAAATATACATATATATATGTCAGATGATTGGCGTCTTTCTTCGACGAAAACAGTCATTCCTTCTATTGGAACTTTTACTCCTTTGCGTTGATGGCAAGAATATTTGTTTCTTTTTTTTTTTGTTTTCTATTGTTTTTTTTTTTTCGTTCTTTCTACTTCTCTTTTTTTCATTTCTTTCTTCAACAGACATTTTTTTTTCGCTAAAGAGTGGATCGGCCGTTTCCTCTCGTGACTCTTTGAGCCGCCATTGGACATCAATCAATGAAACATTTGCCGAAGGTCAACACCAAATAATACGCCATATTATGCAAAAAGACGTAAAAAGAGTTCTCCTGCCATATTCTCTGGTACGCTCGTGTTTGAAATTATCTCATCAGATGGGGTTTCAGTTTCTTTTCACCTCTACAGCCGCTCACAAGAAAATAAACCCTGGTAAATTATTTTTAAACGTTGGGAGCTACATGGCTAATGCGGTAGTCTTATGACTAAAACTAATTTCAGCTGACACCAAATGGTTGATTTTCGACATAAAATTTCGTCTTTCAATTGAATTGTTATATGCAGTCAAACAACTTTGCTTGAAAATTATAGAAAGATAGACATTTTTATTAATTCGTCCATTTTTTTGTTGTTCTGTCTCCTTAATAATGTAATTGTTCTTTTCTCATAAACTGATTCACACTTTCTTTATTTCTTTTCCTATACATTTAAAACATTCGCGTCTTACTGATATTTTGCCTTGATTGCGAGGAAATGAATAAAATACACACACAAACAAACATATATATATATATATATATATATATATATATATATATATATATATATATATATATAGAGGTTGGTAAATCAAAAAGTAGTTAGTAGTAAGTTAAAGGGAATTTAACTTAATTCTATAACTGAATTTGAAGTTTTTTTTCTGTTTTTTTTCAAGCGAATTTTCGAATAACTTATTTTTAAATTCAATATTAGTTACTAAGGATAGGGAAATCCAGTCATTTTAACAATATTTATGCTCTGTAGATTTGAACTGAGCACCCTTTTGTAAAAATAAGAATATTAATAAGATATATATATATATATATATATATATATATATATATATATATATATATATATAATTCTTTTATAAAAGAATATAAAGACATAAGACATATTTAAGATATAAAATGTCTTAAAATACTTTTCGGACTTTGTCCATGTCATATATATATATATATATATATATATATATATATATAGATAGATAGATAGATAGATAGATAGATAGATAGATATGAGCAGACTGAGGTACATAGATATGAGCATAATATGACTAAACTATGTGTATTGATAGGAACGTGTGCAGATATACATAAACAGAATTGATAGATATATTAGGTTGGTGCAAAAATAATCACGTAATAATGTCATTTTTTGACGTATTTTATAACGTCAAAAAACGACATTCTTACATCATTATTTTTGCACCAACCTAATATATAGAGAGATGAATATAATAATATAGACAGACAGATATGGGCCGACAAGTTCTAAATTAATTGTGATAGAAAAAATGGCAGAGGCAAAATAATATAAATATTTGGAAATAATGAAGGAGACTTTAATAGACGAGTTCACTAACTGAAAATTGCGTTTGCATAGATCTCTGAGTCGTTTGCATAGATCTCTGAGTCGTTTGCATAGATCTCTGAGTCGTTTGCATAGATCTCTGAGTCGTGCGAATATCAAGGAACGATATATATATATATTTTAACATATATACTTTATACCTCTGTTATGTAACATCGAGAACTGTACCAATAACACAAGCAATTGATGTGCAATTCATATATATATATATATATATATATATATATATATATATATATATATATATATTATCGACAGGAAAACACATGGATGTGCAGGGGGGTATCGTAGTGGTGGTTTACTCAGGTTTACCCGCAGTAGTGTTCCGGTCGGCGTTTTATTTTTTAAGATATTAAATCGAACTACAGGTTTGATTTTTATTACTTGAAATTGAGCAGTTTTTTAAGGTGTACGATCTTAACAAATATTTATGTTAGCTTATTTCGTCATACATACATATATATATATATATATATATATATATATATATATATATATATATATATATATATATATATATTCAGTGACCATCTGTCAATGCCTGTATATTTGAAATATATATATATATATATATATATATATATATATATGTATGTATGTATGTATATGTATGTATACATATATATATATATATAGAGAGAGAGAGGAGATAGATAGATAGATAGATAGATAGATAGATAGATAGATAGATAGATAAACATACTGAGATAGACAATGAACGCACTGAGATAGATAGATAGATAGATAGATAGATAGATAGATAGATAGATAGATAGATAGATATTATATCGAATCAGACTTGAAGTGAGGTTCTTGAAGATTAAACAGTAATATAAACTATTGTCAATCAAATATTGGCAATCATTCAACATCCCATTCTCGACCCCCCTCCCCCACCTTCATTGATCTCTCTTCAGGCAGGAGGTTAATAAATTGGCCGGTCTCTTTGCAAAACTTTCCACTCGAACTTGGGTTCATCAAATCCAGCAACGGTTTTCATATTTATTCACCCACAAACGTTGCAAGCATTTCGAGGTTAATTTCAGTTTGCTTCAGCCCAGACCAGCTCAGCCCAGTCAAGACCAGCCTATCCCAAAGCAGCCTGACGCCCTTTTAATTTATTGAACATCCAGAACCCATATTTACTCGCCGAATGCATTTATACAGCATTCCCATTCGGAAAGTCCTAACTAACGCCTTTCCATCCTTAATACATTCTGAATAACATGTCCAATTGTCGCCCGATTTAATTATTAAAATCTCCACATGCGAAAAATTATATTAAATCACAACCCGACTACCTCACTTGGGCCAGATGTTTCAATTTACCAACCGACGAGGTACGTTTAATTACATTGCGAAAAGTAGGAATCCATCTGTTCTATCCCCCAGCTATGGGTTAAATAACAGGGCAGACTGGGTATGTTGAAACTTGACTAATGCATGGAATGATAATGCAACACAAAAGGTAGTTAGAACAAAATGTATTGAAACAAGAAAGTGTACACAATATTTACATATAGTCTTTTGTATATTCCTGGTAAGACCGTTCCTGGAGAATGTGTTGACTGAGTCGCAGTCTGGGAGAGTCTCGGGTTTGAATCTCTTGATCCCTCCCTCTCTTCCCGGTACCAACCATATTTATATGGTCGGTACTCCCCTATGCAAATTAGGTGGATCCTACCACAACAGGGTAGTATAGCCTTGGTTGGCAACCAGTCTACTTCAGAATGAAATGGAAAATCTGCGGGCAAAACTTCTGCCGTGTCAGTCATGGATTGAAAGAGACATGATCGCCAAAGCGTATTTCACGGATGGCTTTTAACTGATTGATAGCTTACAAGAATTAAAGCCGTAATGTTTTAACTAATCACTGCCCCAAATCTTTATTTATCTATTTCATTGAGGAATTTATCATAAGGAGGTTTTATAAGTACTTTCCCTTAAACATGTTTGCCTCATTATCGCCCGACAACCTTTAATACATTAAGGACTATTTGCCAACCGACTGCATATTATATTATTTTTAATAGATATTTTTTTTCATTGCCGCCCAAAAGTCTTATTTATTCCGAAATAGAAAAAAAACAGACTGTTACCTAATTACCGCCCATTGTCATTTAATATCTTCTGCAAGAGAAATATGTATTTGCTGTCATACGTATTTCATATTAAATTAAATTTTCTAAATAACTACAGGCAAGCAATTTTTTAAAAATTATTCCAAACTTGCACGCCGGATTATTATTATTGTCTGGGCCAGTTCGTTCTATTTACCACCCGACTGTAGCTTACAAATTACAATTTTTATCCTTGACCCGAGTGTACGTCCTCAGGTTCCTGACGTTTAACCCCACCTTGTATCACCCTCCTCCTCAGTGGGGAGACAAGGGTAAATAACGATATGAGTTTCTTTTTAAGCAATTCACCCCAAGCAAGGCAGGAGTGCCACTAGCATCTAAGGGGTCACAGAGAGTGAGAGCAAAAGTAAAGAGGGGTGTTTGAGGAAAGGATATAGAGAAGAGCGGGGATAAGGATCAAAGCATCAGAAGATGTCGATTGACATTACATTTAAATTTTTGAAGATTATAGTTATAAGGGAAGCAAGTGAAAAGAAAGTTCCACTGTCGGGAAGTGCGAGAGCAGAAGCTGTTGGAGTAGAAAAGGCCTTTGTATTTAACTGTTTTGTCAGGTGGGAACGAGATGCCAACCTAGTAGCACGCTTAAATTCATGCAGTCGGTGTACCAGTGAATGTAATACGTTAGAGCAGTTGCCATGAAAATATTTGTAGAAAAGGCAGAGGGAAGCCATATCACGTCTGTGAGAATGTGGCTGTAGACGAGATGCCAGATCAGGACCTATTATGTTGCATATCCGTCTTTGGATTTCGTCGAGAACCTCGAGATGTACAGCGGCGACACTAGAGCATATATGGCAATACTATTAATTGAAAAGACGAATACTAGAGTGGAAAGGTGGACTCGGACGAGAAAAATCTTCTGGCACGAAACATAGAACCAACATTCCTTGCGGTAGATGTAGCTGTTGATTCAATGTAGTTGTTCACCTCAGGTCGGTGGAAAACGTGAAACCAATAAGTTGGGAGAAGCCATACAATCTGGGAGATTCCAAACCCAGGTCAACGCCTAACTCGTTCTACTAAGAGATTTGGGGTTGGTGTGACATCAACACCAACTTGACAAGTATTTTGTCTTTTGCCTATATACATTTATAGGCAAAAGACAAAATACACCTCAATAGAAAACAATAACAATGTGTTGCATCCTGGCTTAGATCAATACCTATAGTTTCACGGTCTTTTCCCGGAAATCAAAGCGTAGTATCTGTTCAACCCTCATTTGAGATTGAAGAAAATAATCGATCCCGAGGAATTCAACCCTACGACAACACCTACATCAATTCATTAAACAATTCGGACCGGTCTAAAATTGACGCCTGCGTTACAGTGGTGGCATTGACTGTGCAATTTCTTTCGTAGGTTCTGATGCATATATGCATATGATGGACTCACCACATGAAAAAAGACGACATTGTGTTACAGCCTGCATTAGTGGGAAGGCCAGGTAAATAAACACGCCTCTCTGCAAATTGTGCTGGGTGTGCTTCGACTGATAAAATAAACAAAATTTTTAAACAGCAGAACGAAAATAGGTCATTGTCTGCTGTTGTCTGTGAGTCGATTCTATGGAGATTTCGAAAACTGAAAAATTTAAATTAATAACTGGAATGCTTTTGAAAAAGCAATCGCTTCAAAAGCATAATAGCATATATATATATATATATATATATATATATATATATATATATATATATATCTGTGTGTGAAAAATCAAAATACTGGTAAAACCAAAACAAAGCCGGCCAAGTGACCGAAGAAAAAAAAAGAAAGAAAAAAATAAATAAAAATACAAGAGGAAAACGGGAAACGATTCTAAAAGGAAACTTAAATTGAGAAGACAAGACCAAAAGACAGACAACTAACTAAACAGTAATACATAATATTCATTGTCTAAATGCGCAAGACAGGATATATATATATATATATATATATATATATATATATATATATATATATATATATATATAAAAAGAAGGAAGAGTTTATAGTAGTTCCAACGAGAGAAAAGTGTGTATAATAAAAAGAAGAGAGATACCGCAAACGTTTTGGGTTGTAATATGGATTAGTTTTAAAAAAATATTATGCTTTATTTTCCATAATTTTACTACACGTGTTTCTGGTGTCGCGACTGTCATCAGGTAAAAATTGAGATTTCTACATATTATTAAAAATAATTAATTTTTTTCTTATGTTTTTCAATGTTAAATATTCTCGATATGAGACATTCTCTTGGATTGTGTTAGTAATCCGAATTTCTTGAACTGAATTGAATATATATATATATATATATATATATATATATATATATATATATATATATATATATATATACACCTTACGTCCCTTTTCTTTAAACAATTGCGCTAGCCGGTAAAGAGAAATTTTGATTTCAATAATGAATATGCTTATAAAACGCGTAAATTTCAGAAATAAGTTATTCAAAAAAAATTCGCTTGAAGTTGGAACAGAGGTTAGTACTTTAATTCAATTTAATTTAAATAATTATATTGAAGTTTTCGGCTCTTGTTTTGAAACATGAGAACTCTTACATAGCGTGTTGGAATCATATTTTTAAATAAATAATTATATATATATATATATATATATATATATATATATATATATCGGTATACAGGAATATGATGGACTCTCCTGTCGTATTCGACGTACAAGAGTCAAACAAACCCAGTTTCTAGTAACTGACAGCCATATAACCTGCACGTATTGTTTTGATTATAGTGGTGAAGGCTTTGCGCAGAAAAATCACACTTTTTAAACGGCCAAATATAGAGACCTGGAGCACTACGGGACACAAGGTCCCCAAACGAGTTCCGCAGGTTTTAAATTCAGAGTTGTCTTTCTCCTAGACCAGTTGCCATCCAAGGCTATAGATCCGAATCTGTCCTGCTATTTACCCATAGCTAGGGAGAGAAGAAGAGGATTCATACCTTTCCCAAGGGTAAAGTACGTAAGTGAATTTAATGGATTCGACTAGAGAGCCGATTTGGAATTTCAGTCAATCCCATTTCATTCACTTGCGTCCTAATATATTTCATAAATATATATATATATATATATATATATATAAATGAGAGATATATAGATCTAGATCCCGATTATATATATATATATATATATATATATATATATATAGACGTGTATATATATATATATATATATATATATATATATATATAAAATATATATAGAGATAGAGAGAGAGAGAGAGAGAGAGACAAATAGCTAGATATCAATTATATATATATATATATATATATATACAGAGAGAGAGAGAGAGAAGGAAGAGGAGGGATGGAGAGAAAAAGAATGAATTGTATCAATTCCTCTAATATAATACACGCACACATATATGTGTGTGTGCATATATATATATATATATATATATATATATATATATATATATACACATATATACACGAACACACACACATATATATAGAGCGAGAGTTAGTGGTTAGAGGAGGGATTTGAGAGAAAAATATATATAATAAATCTTTCATTTAACAATATTAGAAGGTACTTTTGTGTAGATATGTAATTTTCTTGTTTTCTGATCAGTGTCTAATTTTCAGTTCCTAAATGGACCAATTGTCTTAAGTTTTGTTAGTTATGAGCGCTTGTGTTTCGATTTTCAGCCATATTTAAGAATTTTTTCGTGCTTTTTTCCTAAATAAATGTCTTGTATGATTTCTATTTTAGACGACATGAAA